TCTCATGGAATCATGAATTTGTATAAAATCAAAGAGTTTCACTGCAAAAAATGAGCTTAAATCTTGTTTTGGTATGTCGGTAAAAGCATATATCATTACAAGATACCTGAGAATGAGAAACCCAGTATTACAAGTTAAGCAAATCTTCCTGGAGTTTAGATCTTGAAGTTATATAAGCTAAATAAGATTTTTTTGTGGAATACAAAGATGTGTAACCAATATATTTATCCTTCTAGAAAAAGTCCTGTCAATATTTTATAGTTTAATCGAAATCTTGTTCCTTATCCACTCCGAATTTTTGAGCATTTTGTACATAATTTAAAATTAATAATTGTGTTTAAAAATAATATTGTTGGATTATCCAAACCATCCCGAATATCTGATCTTGAAGTTCTGCAGACTCAACAAGGTATACGAAGCAGAGTTGCGACTTATCACAATCACGATCGCCAAACAGCTGATGGTAGTAACGCTTTATACATTCCTATCAATGTGCTCGTCGAAGCTCTCTCCATGACCATCCACCAAGTTGACGAAAGAAGTAAAAAGCAACTGGTGAATGTCGTCTTCTGTTGTGATCCATCACCGATCTGGTCATTCCCGACAATCACGACACTCTTCTGTGCTCGTTGTGAAGCAGTTGTTGCTTTTCTTGCTTATGTGAGTGTGTTGGTGAGTGAGCCCAACAGCTTCCGTTTCATGTTGCCTGCTTTGTTTGTAACTCACACAGTCGCGCCTGCCGAGACGAACTTGGAATGCGTAGGCATTGTTTTCATTTTCTTCTGTCGTTTCGCTTTTCTCATGATCGTACTGCAGAAGTCTTCACTGTTTTCGTTGTGCTTTTCATCATCAGCAACGAGTGTAACGTTTTGCTTGTGAGCAGCGACCATTACTGGTGATTGTTGTTTGCCATGGCTCTAACTCTCACTGCGTGACAAAACAATCTGTCAGCGATAGTCGGTTGATGCGAAGACGAGTGTCACGTGAGTGTCATGATATTTTGCATCACTGATACGAAGATTCGACTTAATGATAGAATGGTTAAACCTTCGTGAACCTCCTTTAATGTCATTGATTTGGTTTATTGGGTTTTCCATAATGCCTGGACACACCAAAAGAAATTCTAAAAAACACTATCGTGGTAGGAATAGCAGCAAAATCACCATTTTCCCCGTGCGTGAACAGAGTGCGAGTGAGATCAATATGTACAATACTTTTGATTTGTGGATACTTTACCACAGTGAAAGAAATAATATGAAAGTTAAAAACAGATGTGTAAACAAGAGAATATAATGGTGTATGTGATATAAAATTGATTGATTCCAAGTAACATTGCAAGTTTTATAAAGGTTTTAATGATTCTTCAAGACCAAATTATGGCCTACAAGACTATGATAAACCCAAAAATTTTACTTGGGATGAGTATTTATGATCTTTCCCTGTGCGATTTGGGTTTTCCCGCATTTTTCCCGGCAAATCCGGATTCCCGGTTTTCCCGATTGGATGGACACCCTGCAATACACTTCAAAGAGAAACTCTGCAAAGTTTGCTTAATTTTTGCCTAGTAGATACAGCCAGTTGTAAGTGTTGCAATAATTTCGTGTTCGCTCTTTAGTATGTTGGTCACCACGATCATTTTAATTTGTTACACCTTAAATAATCATATGCAATTATTGGAATATTGTTATTCAGGAAGGAGAACCATCAACATATCCTCCTCAAGAGCATTTTGAGAAGCATTTCAAGATAATTCTGAGGAAAGCTAGAATTCTGTGGTGAAATCCAAGAAAAGTTTGTGATAACACCATTTAAATTTAAAATGGCACACCAGATTCTGTGAATATTCCAAATGAATTGAAAAGAATATAGTGGAGGGAAATGGAGGCAATTTCTTGTGAACATTTTTAAGAATACAAAGATAAATGTAATGTTAATTTTAAAAGTTTGCTGGACGGAATTCCTAAAGTGTTCTGCACAAAATTAATATTCATAAGGAACATAAGGGAAATGGCTCTAATGTTGGCTTATGGATCTAAGATTGGACTCAAATTGATAAAAATCTGCTATTTATCAATTTTAACTAGATGAACCGTTGGGACGGTACTAATGGATATTTTTGGCCGCTATTGAAAATTTAGTCGATTGCTGAATTTATGTATAGGCCCAAATTAGGGGCATTTAGGCCGACATTACATCCATTTTATCTATATGGAGAACTGAGCAGAACCATACGATTATTAAGTCCTGAAGAGTAAACATAATTCTGACGACATTTTCAAATGATCCTAAGGAAATTCTTTAAAAATGAGCAAACATATTCTGAGTTAAGTTTCAAAGAAATAGTTCAATTAAGTTTTTGATTCCATACATTAACAAAAATGTCAAGATTCTTAGACTTCAATAAACAACAAGATCTTGGTCTTAGAAAAATGTTCATGATTAAGGGGCTGGATTAAAAATTCTAAAGAAATATTGGAAGCATCGGACTTTAAATAGTTATTAATAAAAATTATATTTTAAAGTTCCAATCAAAATCCCGGTTATTTCCCGATTAATTTCGATTCCCGGTTAATTACCGGTTCTCCCGCTTTTTCCCGATTCGTTGGCCACCCTAGATTATTGGAAGGTATGCAAGTTATCAAAAAGCGCTCTTTTTTATATCGCTCGGATTTTGATATTTTAAAACAGATTTTGACCTGAAATCCATCCACATATTGTAAAACCTATCTACTAAATGTATTCCGAAAAGAAAATAGTTTTAACATATAGTTTATGAGATATGACCAGATAAGTGAGTATCCAGCTTTCCATGCTCGGTAATGGCGGCCTGTTTGTGTGAATAAATGTATCCTTCACTGTGCTTTTTGACACTATCTGGAGGTTCGGATTTTGACTTCTCTCTTTCTCGCTCTCAGTCACAGAAGAAAGTTGAACAACATACGCCCTCCAGTTAGGGTCAAAAAGCACAGTGAAGGATACATTTATTCATACAAACAGGCCGCCATTACCGAGCATGGAAAGCTGGATTATGGTATTCAAAACAATGTTTTTTTTTGTTCCATTTGGGGTCCAAACAACTGTGCAAAATTTGCTTGAACCATGAAACTAATCATGTAGAAGTAGGATGTACGATGTTAGAATGTCTCTAAAAAAGTTATAACTGTTCAAAGATCGATGTTTCGAATTATGCGCCAAAAATCACTATTCTTGCCAACACTGCCGATGTACCAATGAAAGTGAGATTCCAAACTGAAATAATTTCAGAGTTGATTATCTTATCGATTTGGTATGTTCAGATATGCGTATTTATAAAGGGGGGGCGGCTTATTATACCAACCCATGCCATCCTCACTCATAGCAATGGAAGTAAAGTTTCAAACTGAAATAAAATTGGAGTTTCTTATCTTATCGATTTGGTATGTTCAGATGAATTATTGAAAAACAATTTCTCAATTTCATACACATAGTTAGAAAGAATGGAGCCTTACTATATCCCACTAAATTGATGCAAAATTTGAAATTTTCACTCCACAGTGCTCAAACGGTTCCAAATTGGGCCCTGATTAGCCTCCCAAAACTTGAACTCATTTAGTGAGAAACTGACTTGGCACAAACCATTTGAAGTTTATTTGGAAATTACTATGGGAAAACAAAACTTTTTGTTTATTGTCTTCTAGCCCTTTTACATATTGTAGTGTTAACAAATTTTATTGCTATTCTTATTGGAATTTTTATCAGTAACAACTTTGCAGAAAATCGTTTTTCAGCCATACGTCAAATTAAATAGTTATTAATTGTTTAAGAGATTGATAATCTTATGGCAAAATTAAACAACTGTATTGTGGGCAACACTGTATTCTGCAGTGTGACATAGTAGCCATGATTTTTGTCCTCTATTCTACGCGCCATAAACACCAATGTTGCCTGCTGAACAGTTCATTGAACATAATCATAAGACAACAGTGACTTGAATATTAATAATTTTTGTTCCTTACATTTGATCGAAAAGTGGTCTTCAACAAAGTTGTAACTGAGAAAATTCAACAAGCTGAGCCGACATTTTCTAATGTAGAGTGAACTGGTGAATTTTGAGATAGATATGAACCGAAAATATGGTTTCTCCATAGTAATTCCCATATAAACTTCAAATGGTTTGTGCCAAGCCAGTTTCTCACTGATCAAATTTTGGAAGGCTAAACAGGGCCCAATTTGGAACCGTTTGAGCACTGTGGAGCGAAAATTTCAAATTTTTCATCAGTCTAATACCCCACCCCTCTCACTCATATAAATGTAAGTAAAGCTTCAAACTGAATTAACTGTGTTTCTGAACATGTCAAGTTGGTATTTGCTCCATTTAATCGGCGTAGTTAAATATGGAGGTGGGCTTACTGTATCCTTTCTGCCCCTCACTTATATCAGTGAAAGTATAGATAAAGACTGAAATAACTTCGGAGTTTGCCATCTTCTCGAGTTATTTAGATGGATTATACAAAAACATTTGCTCAATCTCATAGGAGCAGTTTGAAAGTGAATACCTCCTCCTTCCCTAATATCGCTTGAAACAACTATTGCTGTTGAACTGGGTCTCGGGTGGATTCCTTGATAAAGTCAGAAATTAGCCTCACTCCTCGTTCAGCCACATCGTTGACGCGAGCGTGTCCTCATCGAAACCCATTGCCAATCGGTTTTCTCTGTTCTGGATACCGCTAAAGCAATCGATGAAGTTATTGTGTTAAGTGACTTCAATCTCCCGGGAATTTCATGGAAAAACCAACTCGCAACGGCTACCTCTATCCTGATATGACTCACTCTGTCATGCATTCCAACGCTTTGCTCCTTCTGGACAATTACAGCTCAGCCACTGTTTCTCAAATTAATCATGTTTAACCAGAACAACCGCAGTTTGTATCTGTCCACCGCCATGAGACATTTCCATTTCAAAATTACACACTCAGAAAAATAATCAGAATTAGGTTTATCGGAATTGGCAATATACTTACTGAGTTAAATTTTGACTAACACTCTCCTCGTCCACCGTGACTCCTGGTGGCGGTTCTTTGATGAGGGACATTAATTCTTTCTGTAACCGTCGCTGTAAATATAAAACAATCGATTAGCGATCGTGAATTGAAAACCATCGTTCATCTAGTGTTAAACAAAGGTTCACTCTGGCAGTTGTCACGGAATCTAAGCCCTACTGCTACTTGCCTCCCAGCGGCTGTTATCCAGTATCAATTTGCGATTATCTTTGGCCGCATCCTGTATCACGGTGCTGGCGGTCGTCGAGATACTCTCCGACTTGGACGGCTTTTCCTTCCGAACTCGAAATCGGTTCAACATGATTACGGTCTAAATGTTCACCAACGCTTATCACTGTTAAATTCTCGTGGAAAGAGTATTTTTTGGGATTGGCGGGATCACTACTGAAGGTATTTTATTGTTGGTGCTGGTCAGCTTAAACTATTACGCTCTACTGGACGAATCATTGGTTTGACCGTCGGCCGAGAAATACTCTGCAAATGTGGGAAAACATTGTACGGGTTAATTTGAATCGGAAATCTTCAAAAGGGCAGATTCGCATTGTCCAGGCAGAACCGACCGATCGGGAAGACGCTTGATGTATAATTAATTCTGATGATGGTATTGTTTACACGAGGGCCAGTCGATTGAGTCACGTTTTGGACGTAAACACCTCTCCCTCCAAATGTGATTGATTTTAATGAAGAGGGGATCGGTGTCCACTTGCGAATGGAGGTAAAACAAAATGGTTGCGCCAGTTCCTTCGAATGAGGGGGAGTAATTGATCAACAGTAGTGGAATTATGATGCTCTTTGAAATTCGAGACAACAATTACGATGATGTTTTGTTATGAGTACCGGAATCCGGGGGCAAATTGATCACCGGGGTGAAATTGATCATTATGGGTGTAGTTGCCACGAAGAAAATTTTCGGTGATAGATATCGAGAGAAATCTTGATAAAATTTCATCATGAGACTCAAATGATTGCTTATCATAACAAAAACGAACATTTTACAGTTTTTTTTTTTTGAACTGGCGTTCCATAGCCTTTAATATAATCATTCAAACAAACGGTGATAGGGTTGCAGCGATTGTTGACCTTGACTTAAGAGTGTTTTTTTTTTAAATAAACTAAGCGTGAATTAATCTTAATTATAAAGGTAGTGAAATGTTTTCAACATTGGGCAATAAATGGATTTCTGTGAAATAAAAAATGCCTACATTTAGGCGCAACTATGCATTAACGGGTGTTCAATAAAAAATGAGAATGATTTCAGTGCCGTCCAGCGCTTTTGTGAGAGCATCGCGACTAAGTTGCGTCGTACGGCTGACCAGGCCCCCTTCTCCAATAGTCATTGACGTTTTTTTTGAAGAGTAAACATTATGTTATTGATAAAAAAAATACTGAATTCGTTGAAAAAAAATGTTTTTTTCTTGTTATATGATTGAAAAAAATCTGATTTTTTATTGAACACCCGTTAGAAGAAATCTGTTTTTGTAATTTCTGCTAAAAATACACTTCGCACAAGGATTTTAGCATCTGATTCGGATTCAGGGAGCCTAAATATTAATAAGAACAGTTACTAGAAATTTACCCGAAAGTAATATGAAGTTCTGATCCGTATTGATATTTTCAAATTTTAGAATACAAAAAATGTCCTTTAAATTAACAAAACACCCAATATGATAAGTAATCATGCAGACCTCATAGCAACTGATTTTAATACTATAATTTTGTCAATTTCGTTTAATGTATACATTTATCTCTATATTTACATTATTAACATTCCGAACACGATGCCTTCGGAAAAATGTGTAGTGGCAAATTGGAAATATTTGCAAAATCATTGCTGATCAATTCATCGATAAATTTTAAATTTATTGAAACCGAATACATCTTTAAAGTATGTAGTTTCAAATAGCACCAATAGATATTAAATTCGTCAATAAATGATTGAGCTATGATTTTTCAAATATTGCGAGTTTGCAGTTACACATTTTACCGGAGGCATCGTGTTCGGAGTGTTAAGTGATCAATTTGTCCCCGGATTTATAATAAAAATGCATTTTCTGATGCAAATATTGATTTTTCTTAAGGTGAAACTTCCCATGAAACACTGCCAAAAACACTTCTGATTTCTCTCTCTCTTATATTGTTCAGAAACTTCTGAATCACAGCCCATCGATAGCCCTACTCCAATCAGCTGTTGGATCGTCTTTGACCTACACTCGCACACCGTGGACGCGGATCGGGAAATATGAATCTCATTAATAACCGCATTGACGATAATGTCCCGCTCGTTCTGCCCACAAGTCCGCACACGCACACACACACACCTTTTTAGTGGCGTAGTAAATTTTCATTATTGCAGCAATGCATTCTGCCTCTTCGACCTGTCGTGTCTTTGTTCGGCAGAGGTAGGTATGCACTTTCGAAGGAAGAACGCACCATTCGATGGCGCGGCGGCAGTATTTTATGGCCCATCCACTATCGTCGGTGTGGATCTACACCTTCACCGCCGCCACCACCCCCGAGGCAACAGGCGCACATCGAACATGTGGGAGAGCATAACCTTGTAGGAATGAACGAAGCCAACGATCCAACGAACGAACGGTATATTGCGGTGGATGAAGAGCGTGAAGTTCATTGAAATCATCATAGCTAACATAAAGAACCGTTGGCGTGGTCGTGGTTGGGGACCTACAGTAGACTGCACTCAACAGTGCATGTGCAATGATTCCGTTGCATTAAGATATAATTGTTAAATTCTCAGAGCTTTGGAGCAATTTTCTAGACCATCTATTTTCAACTTTGCCCTACCGCGAGATCGAGCTCGCTCTATATCGCTTCATTTAGTGAGGGTGCCCGCACCTCTGGTTGAGAATCGATGTTCTTGTCCAGGCCTCCCCAATCTTTTAAATTTTTAAATAGCTGTATCTTTGACCGATTAACATGTTTCAAGATGCATTTTGTTTGTTTCTCATTCATTATAGGCTAAAATCATAATGATGATAAATAACATAGGGCTAGATTGATATCCTTGCTGAGATCCAGTTCGCTGTTCTAGACCTAGGGCATAAAAATCTTAACCTTTGATTTACAGGGTGGCCAGCGAATTTTCGTTTTGAGATTCCCGATTATTTTTCCCGGTTCAAATCTCAAATATTTCTCGGTTGTAAACATTCAGCAAGAAACGGAAGTACAATAGTTTTTTAGAAAATGTGATCAAATGCTGTTTTTTTAAGTAATTTGAGCAGCTCCACACCAATTGACGCATCGGAAAAACTCGACGTTCATGAATTTGTTATTATGAACAATGATTCACATTTTCGATAAATTTAACCATTTTGGATCTTAAAATTGTATGAAAATGGCGTTTTGAAATTTTTCATAAAATTATAGCTCGGAAATGGCACTTCTGATCAAAATGACGTCTGAGACAAAGTTGTAGAGAAAAATAAGATAAACTGTAAAAAAATATACAAATCAAAGTATTTAGCGATTTCAAGTAAAAATGCCAAAACATTTTTAAAACCTATATATCCCAAAATTGCCTTGTCCGATCTTTGAAATTTTTATTCAAATAAAAGCTCATGAAAAATGCAAACTTTTCGATGGTAAAATTAATGTCTTAGGGTAAACGCTCCTATAGTTGCGGTACGTTAGAAGCGTTAGGTTCCTATAGTTGTGTATTGATTCTCCATGCACAACTATAGGAACCTAACGCTTCTAACGTACCGCGTTTCCCCTACTGGGAAAAAATAGCAAAAAATTCTTTTTATTTTATTCATCTAAAAATAAAAAAAAAAATGTCAGATTTTTTTAATTTATTTTTCAAAAAAATGCTTCTACCTATGTACACTTAAAAATTGACAAAAGTCGTAAAACAAGAACTTTTGTTCAAATGTTCGAACTTTTGTGGAATTTATACTCAGAAAGCAATGCTCGCGGCAATTTAACTAATTTTCTGTAAAAAAAATACGCAAAAAGAATACTATGAAAAAGGTTTAAAATTTTAACCAAAAGTTTTTGTTCTACGATTTTCGTCAGTTTTCAAGTGCCCATAGTTTTGAACATTCCAAAAGGTAGAAGCATTTTTTTTTAAAAAATAAATTTAAAAAATCTGACATTTTGAGAAAATTGGATTTTTTTTTATTTTTAGGTAAATTAAATAAAAAGCATTTTTTGCTATTTTTTTCCAGTAAGACATTAATTTTCACTACAAATTTGTCTCAGATGTCATTTCGATCAAAAATGCCGTTTCCTTGCAATATATTGTTTTTTTTTAATTTCTAGGACACCATTTTGACAATTTTGCAAAAATCCAAAATAGCCGATTTTTAGAAAAAAAAATGTGAATAATTGCCAATTACGCAAAGTTTCATACAAATGGGTGAAGGTCGATTCATAAATTCAAATTTTGCCTGGAACCACTCATTTATGTAAAATGTACTTTCAGTAGCAAAACTACAGGTAGATTTTTTTTAAAGCAGAAAGTATAATTCAATTAAATGCTGAAATGTTAATGGAATAATTATTTCATTATTTATATACTTTGTAAAGTAATCACAATTATGGGTCAGATAGCAACCTGTATGCTTCAGCAAAATATGCGTCATTAAAAGTTCGAAAAGTATCTAGAACGAAGTTTTTACGAGAAATGAACGTATGAAAAGATATTTAAAGAAAGCTGTTTTTTAGGAGGCACCCTAACCTGGTTGTTTAAAATAATCATAACTCATGCTTTGAATTGATTGTTCTACAACTTTTCTATCTCAAATAATAAAAAAAAAGTTTGTATTCTCAATTCACCAATTTTAAGGACCACCCTAATTTCACTATCATAAAAAGTTTGGCCAAAACATATGATGGAACTTTCTCGAAGACACCATATATCTAAAAGTGATGGTTTTGGCGCAAATTTTCTGTCTTCCTAAATATGACTTTGGGACCATTGTGCACTAGAAGCTAATCCCGTTCTGATGGAGGAGGCTTATAGGATAGCGGAAGATAAAGAGTTTATTGTGTGGTACCTTTTGGCTATAGTTTTACGATGTTGTGTTTTTTTCTTTTATCCTTGGTTTGTTTTCCATAGATCTTGTTTTCCGTGCTGAGCATCAATGCTACCGATGTCAGGGAGGCAGCTCCCACACTTGGACCCTACCTATCGACCCATCAACTCATGAACCGGGTACCAACGGCTTTCTTCCCTTCCGAAGGATCAGAGATGTTATGCCTCAGAACATCCCGGCGGCGCCGACTGGGATTGAACCCAGGCCTGCTGGGGTGAGATATAATCACGCTTACCACTGCACAACCGGCCCCGCTAATATTTAAAGGATTCTTCAAGACCAAAATATGGCCTAAAGGGTGGAACGGTCAAAAATTGGTCTACTCAAATTTGGCGATTTTTTTTTAATTGTGCGTTTAAAAAACTTGAACACCCCTCATTTTGTAGGTCTGGACGTACGGAATGTTGCCTCTATTTCGTT